CATTGCCCTCGTCCTCGTGTGGCGCCGCTGCAGGTCCCACCTGTCTGTCCCAGAGCGCTGCCCAGGGTTCCCTGCTCCGCTCGTGCCTGAGCTGGAGCCGGCTCCGAGTCACGCTCGCTGCCCCGACGGATGGTACCCAGTGCCGCTCCCGGCTAACCCAGGTGCTTCCCTCCTCAGCTGGCACTACTTAGGGAGCAGTACGCTAGCACTCTGCATAAATCTTCATTCCTCTTTCACTCGGCTGTTAGGCTAATTTAAAAGGCAGCAAACAGGTGTTTGTGATAACAATCCTTTGATAGGAACAAGTGAAAAGGTAGCAGCTTTTTTATTCCTTTTATAATTTGTGATTTTCCTGTGAAAGAAAATGTTTCATAATTTCTTCATATAGGTAGTTTCTGAGACCTATTTGATTAATTACTTTCTTGTATAAGACAGCAACCAATGTTCCTTCCTGTTCTCTCACTGGTAGATAAAACAATCAAATCGTTTTGGGTATATAAGAACATTGTAGTTTACCTATTTTGTTACATAATATGAGATAAAGGTGAATAAACCCCATAAGTTTCTGCCTATGATGACTTTATACACTGACAGAGGGTCATGTCTTCTCACTCTGCCCTGTGACTATTTTTGCCAGAGGAGTGTACGTACTATTAGAAGTGAGGCAGCCTCCAAACATGTATTACCCCCCTAGAAATGTTCTGGTAATGTGCTAATTCATGGTTTTCTGAGATGTGCTTTAAACTAACTGGCACAGACACACGATTTCACTGGCGAGATGCAAAAATTTATATGCTAGACCATTTCCAGTGTAACGATATCATACGGAGCACAGTCTTAGAAAACAAAAATAATGCTGGTTACCGCTCAGTCTTAATTCTGCCTTTTCAGGATATTAATTACTCTGTGATATTTAAAGACAAAATTGGAATTACATATATATAAAAGAAAACCTTCTATAAAAATATACATAAGTAAGAAAAATGCAAGGATACTAAAAATTATATATTTACTAATCACATTTAAGATTAGGAAATAGATACATCTGAGCTACCTTTTGACATTTTAGCTGCATTTAAACCCAAATAGTTTATACAAACCACACTGAGTATAGCTATGTTGAAACATTATAAACTAAACATTTAGCATAAACATTAAATTCTATAAATATATAAAACTAACTACAGGTGAGTTAAAAATGTGGAGTTTTTATCTATGAGACATACTGTGAAAACTCAGGATATCAGGCATGTGCTTGCTAGAAAGAATTTGGGAAGAAAGAGATCAAGTTTCACAACAAATCTTTACAGAATCATATAACAGTTACATGGCTGTTTCCTTCCTTCTCAGAAACATCGTCTGTCAGTCTTCTATTTACATTTCCATAGAGAAAGGCTCAAATCTTTGCCAATGATACTTTGGTGTTGTCTGGAAGGACAGCATGTATTTCAGAGGATGAAGAAGGGCTTGTTGAGTAGGCTAAAAGGGTAAGGGTAAGCCTGGAAGGACATTTGCTTCTTGTCCTGCCCTGGGCTGCAGGTGGTAGCTGCTCAGGACAAAGTGCTTCTTTTCCACTTCACAGATGAACACTGCCTGGGCCATTGCTTCTGCCACTGCCTGCAGAGCCACATTCAGAGGCTGCAAATGTGCTGATTTTTATGCTTGAAACTGAGCATAAAAATGTTCTCCACTGTTCTTCATGCTGGGCAAAAATATAGCACTGGTAAAATGGGTTATTAGACCATAAGAATCCATTTTGTGGGCTCCTCTAGCTCATAGCAAGTTCCTGTCATTGTGCAGTTCTTCTACATTACTTTTCTTAGCTGGTCAGTTGACACTTGATGACTACATTTTTATTACCAGAAAGCACTTGGTCTATCCATGCTCAAAACCTGGGTCTCCAGTCCTCAAAACCAGGACTCCCATTATGTACCTCAAAGTAACTTTTATTATACATGTGCATGACCTTTAGGAGCTTTTAATAACCTTGAAAATTGACAAAATAAGCAATAAATTTCTATAGCTTATGTAGTACAGGAGAGGGCATCAGTATCCTTCTCATTTCTCTTCCAGCATGGCCATATGCTTGATTTAAGGGTAGCTTTCTGAGTCTTCTGTTGGGCAGCTGGAGAACTGCTGTCAGCTTTAGTAAGTGCAGCAGTAGCAAAAGTCCAGGAGATAGTCTCACCATTTCCTGCTACTTTGCAAAATCAGTATCAGATACGGGAACAATTTTCTGGACTGCAGTAAAAACAATACAAACTTTCTGCGGTCAGATGTCAAGTAAGGATAATTTTAAGAAACACTTTGCCAGTAAGTGCTTTCTATCACTGATAAACCTCTTTATCATTTTTTATAGCATGCGGCATAGTGTAAACAGTAGATAGGATCACCTTTAGACTAGTGTATGTGTTGTGGCTGACTGTGGCTTGATAAAGTGCAGGAGGCATGGAAAAAGGCAAGGTGAAGAAAACAGGTTAGATATAGAAGTCAGCAGAACTTCAGTTTTGTCTTTTACATAAAGAGGCCAAAAGTGTCATGGTGTTAACACAAGGCAGGTACAGAGTACAGTGATGATGATGATGTTAAAAGGGCAAGTGCAAACATTGTGTCTAAAGAACAGAAAATACTGAGACAAAGTTTCCCATGAGATTTGCAAAAATACAAAAAGCCAGACAGAAGAGAGTTGGCTGCTTCCAGTGAAAGTCTACAGAGAAAGCCATTGAATAAATTTATGGGAATAGCTGAGGGCATAGAGGAAGATCAGTGCAAAAACCAAGGAGATAAAAATCTATGAGGTAGGTAGTGGTAAGACATGAGGGAAATCTTGGATGGAATAAGCATTTGAACATTCAGTTTTTAAATTAGTTGAATAAACCATCACCAGTATTCTTATTTGCCAGCATTTCAGATTTGAGTAGCCACACTGCACTAAGCAGTAGTCAGCACCTGGCAAAGAAAACATGGACCTTGTCAGGTATAAGAACAAACATCTGCTGTGACCCTCCTCAGGAGTAAAAATCTAGCTCACAAAGTATGAAGGGAAAAATTAGTGACCTACACAAGTCTCTACATGTTTTATAGACGCATCTCCAAAATGAAATATCAAAGCAGATGCTGAAAGGGTGACATTTGATGTTCCTATAATCTGTCAGACCTATGCTAGCTTGGGGCAAGTCTGTGTACCCAGCCATATTTAACTCATCCTTTACATTAAAGTTCCACTTAAAAATGAGTTCAAAGGGATTAATTGATGGTTACTATGAGACATAAACATACTGAATAAATAGCAGTGAGTATATAATTACAAGCACACCCATGGAACATGTCAGTGACGATTAAGCATGGTGTCCGGTTTATCTCGGCTGTTTGAGGGGCCTGGAAGGCCTGGGGTGGCCTTGGGGCAGCCCGCGTATCGAAGGACGAGAAGAGGCTTCAGTTCTTCTTTCTGGTTTTTATGTTTATTAATTGTTTATCTAAAAGATGTTCTTTCAGCCGAACAGAGATCTGCTCAGCAGTCAGCCATGGGCACACTGTCTCCCTCCCGGGCAGCCACGTATCTTTATACCCTTTGTTACGTATACAATATTTATCATTTTTCCCCAATACCATCTATTCTTATAACTCGATGTAATCTCAGTAATAACCAATCCAAAGGTGCCACCGTGGCCAAAGAAGATGGAGGAGAAGAGGAAGAAGAAGAAGGACAGGACACACCCCAATCCTCCATCTTACTCCTCCAAACCCCCCTGTACATAAATCCTAAACCCTGTGTCTCACCCTCTAATTAACTAATCCCTTCACCATTCACCCTGTGAAGCCCTCATCCTTGTCGTCTCCTGTGTAGGGTTAAAGTCCTGCCACCAGACACTTCTGGCAACATTCCAGGACTCCCAAGACCCCCAAGCTGGTCTCGGAGGCTCAGCATCTCAGGACTGAGATCTTGAGATCCGACAGCATGGTACCCAAATGAATGGATAATTGTTTTATCAAGTTTCTGGAGTCTAATAGAGAGTATGACTAAAGAGCTGCATCTCAGTGGCTAGTCCCTTATTAGGTGCTTGTGTGTACTTTGGTTTTTCAGCTCCTTTGAGGGTGGCGGCTGCCTCTTTTGACTTAAAATAACTGGGATAAATTCAGTCACCCTGTTTTTGATGGGTAACACAATGGGCCTGACTGAGGATCAGATTTAATGCAAGAACCTATCATAGGCCTTATTTAAACATACAGCATCAGTTCTCTGTGATGCATAATAGTTCTTTCATTACCTGGCCCAAAGCAAATTCCAGACTCTAATGATATTTGTGATCTGGCTAGAAATAAGGATGCCTCTTTGCTTTTAGATGCAGTTTAAAGTGCTGTTTTCAAGTGGCTGTGAAATGAATGTGATAAGGACCTGCTTTGAGTTGGCAGTTTGCTCTGAGACAAGTTGTAACAGTCCAGGCAGAGCTGGACAGACACAATTTCCTCACAATTAAAAGAGAAGCATTTTAGCCCAGAAAATAAAGAAATGCTGTCATTTATATGAAAGATGTTAATTTCAGACAATATCAACTGAATCTTAATTGAGTGGATATCAATAAGCAGGTGTTCATAACTGATGGCATTCCTCTCTGGTTTTGTTTGTTTTTTGATTGGAAATGAAGAAAGATTTCTGTACTTGACTTTTTCCATTTGAGATTCCTGGTGAAATGACTTCTTATTGAAGCTGGGAGGCAGTCACTCTGGATTTTTTGAAAATGAGTGACCATAAGAACTGAATCCCACTAGAGAAAGAGAAAGGATAATAATTGATTACTTCAGGGGAAGTTGCCTTAGAATGAGAAATGTAAAATGAATCCTGGGGCAATTGTGTAATCATTATGCTCCTTCCTTGGAGTTTTAACTGGCTGATGCCTACACAGGGGGTGGAAATTTCCACGTATCTGAACCATTTCCTCTTTAGGAAACAGTCCACAACCTGTGGTTTAGTTCTTTATCCACAGGGGTTGCTTAGTGTGAGATACAGATGGAAGATGCACTTTCAAGACTGCTTTCTTTGTACCTTACTCAGCTAGGGATATGGATCCTAGGCTGCTCAGGTTCATCTTCCAATTTGGTGGTGTCTCCTTCTGCCAAGCTTAAGTCAGACTTGTGCCACTTTAGCTGAAGGTATCTTTCCATCAAGTCAGCTCCCACGTTGAAAATCAGAGCCAGCCAGGCCAAGCCAAAAACAATCCATATCGCAGTTAGGCTCCTGTACACAGGGATATAGTGCTTGTTGGGGTTTGTGCCTGAAAAATCCAGGAAAATTTGTATATTTATCTTGGCAGCTTTGGTCTGCTAAATATGCATACTCATACACCCCCTCCACTCTTTGCAAAAGTGTATATGTTAATGAGTTTGTGTGATCCATCAGCAGATAGATTTTTTTTTTCATGCCAACTCTCAGGTTAAGCTTAGCACAGTTAGCATGAAATCCCTGAAGCTGAGACTATATAATAAAAATAGCCATATCTAATATTAATTAGGGATGCTCAAAGTCAATGGTTCCTAGCCAAAAACAAAGGAAAAAAAGTCTTGGAAATTAAATGTTGAGTCCATATTAACTGTATGTTACTCAAGAGGCACACAGGGGATCTCAGATGACTTAGCTACAATTTAGTGATTCAGTGATTGCTTTTTGGAGAGTGATGTTACCTCAGTACTGGGATTCACAATAACATGGATAATATGGTAAATGTAGCCATTTTAATTAAGTGGTTACAAGAATCTTAATCCCTGGTTTGGTATTTCCACAGCATGGGCAATCAGTACAGCTGATAGAGTCATGAAACTCCACAGTGCCAGATTCAGCATGGGATTCTTTTTTATCTCCTTTTGGGAAATAGTTATGACCTCTAGGAGAGGAGAGCTATTACTTGTGAATAAGAAACCCTAGTGATTTTAACAAATAAATACATTAGACATAATCTGTTAAGATTATGCATTTGTTCAAATAAGTGTGTGGAAAAATGTGTCTCATGTGTCTCTACCATTATGTTCTCAATCTAGAGGTCTAAAGGCTATGTAATGTCTGTGGGTTTGTTTTCTTTCAGAGGCATCCTGTGGTTGTCAGTAATCTTCTCCCTAAGTACTGATTATTTAATATTTGATATGATTTGTTGTTGGGAATGGTAGGCACTTGCTAAAACAAAACAGTGTTAGGAGAGTGTGGTTCAAAGTCTTAATACTGAAAAAGGAATTTTATTTATATTCCACCTTTCACTCTTGATAACATTTGTACCAGCCTGGACACAGCCACTGTTGAATGAGTGTTCAGTGGCACATGTGAAATAAGTTGGGTGACTATTTGGTTGGCTGTCAAGACAAAAATGCTCATATCCTCTAATACATTAGCTCATTGTTACCAGTCTGGCTGAGCTCACCCTTGACCAGATCTATAATGGAATGGATTATGCTTTATACTAGAGTTATGAATTTCAACAAAGCTCAATCCAGTTCATGCTCTTTTTTACCTACTACATAGTCCCCAAATCCAATGGTGCTCAGGGTGATGAAGGTGAAGTAAAAGCCTTCTCCGTAGCTCCAGCCTTCTACATAACTGAAGACTAATGGTGGGAACACCAGGAAAAGCAAGGTCCCAGTGATCAGGAAGATGACCACTGCCAGTGTTTGAACCACCTGAAAGAGAAAAGGAAGATGGCAGCTATAAGGCATGGAGCAGATGTCTTGTCAAAATTGCTGTGTCTGTTTTACTCTTGAATCACAAACCCACCCCACCTGGGAGTGATGGCAAAAAAAAGATGGATAAGCCAATGCTTCCATGTACTGCAGGCTGAGATCACTGCTTACTCTGCACGTAGATATTGTACCTAAGCATGAAAAAAAAAATCTTAAAATTAGGAAAAAAAGGAGGATTTTTTAAAAACTTTTTGCAATGAGTTTTGTAGAATGGCCCAGTCATATTTTCAGACTTACTATGATGGCCACTGTAATGAAATACTAATTTTATAATTTCAATTCAAGTAGAGATGCTCTTGTAATCAACTAGCTCTTGTCTTTGAGGAAAATCACCACATACTGCATAAGTCATGAAGCAAAGATGGACAAGAACAAATTAGGGATCTTTTCACTATGACTGCTTCCAAAGATTTACAGAGTGGCTGGCAAGAGCTCATCCAAAAATATGTTTGGATGAAACCTAAGAGAAGTCAGTTTGCCTGGTTTCATTTTTAACTTAGAAGTGCTCAGAACAGAGCTGGTTTGTGTTAGCACAGAGCAGATCTGTGTCTCTCAGGACAAACATCTGCCTTCAGGGAGATAAGTTACAATATATGTGATTGTGGTAGATAGGTACAAAGAGTGGTCAGTGGATGGGTCCTGAAGGGATTTTAGGAGTGCACAACTGATGATCAGGAACTTATGGGTTTCCAGGGAACACATTCTGGTGAACTTTTGACTAATGATGTGTGGCCTGATGCAAACTCATTGCAATTATTTAAAAATGCCCTCAAGGACAATCAAACCAGAGAATGATTTTCTATTAATGAGCCTATTGTGACTGGAGGAAAAGGAAACCACTGCTTATGAAGTGGAAGGTCCAGATACCATGTTTTAATTTCTCTCTCTGAATTATCTCACATAAAAATGCTCTGAGCTTGAGAAACATGACTTGAGATGACTGGGTGACTTTGACAAGTCACTTCTACATTATGTGTCATGTCTCTCTAGCTGTGTAATAATATTTGCCTCATTTGCAGAGCAGTTTGATAATTACTAATTGACATGATTATAGTTGATACATAATTCAGTTGTTCTCATTTCATTCCAGTACTGTAATAGAGTTTAATTACATAATAACATTTGCATTACAATGTATACTGAAATGAACCTGCCTTTTAAGAACTCTCTTGTACAAACCTGTAATGTTGGGAACAATAAGTCATGGAAAATGAAGAACTGATTGCAATTAATTTCCCAGAGCATGACAAAATTCTGTTTATAAGAAGATAAAACAACTTCCTTGAATAAACTTTTCAGAGCAAACAAGCAGGTACAGCTCCAAAGCTTTGTCTGATCATAGGAGTCCTGTCAGAAATGTCAATTCAGGAGTGAAAAGGGGAGAAAAAAAGGTCACATCCCTGAGCTGCTATCAGAAATCTCAGGAAAGATGCAGCTACACTAGCATGAAAATCCTTCTGGTGGTAGAGCTGCATGTGTTTGGGGACCGGGCAGAGGTTGTGCAGCTAAAGAATTTCTTGCTGATATAATCCAAGTCTGCATTTGATGGTACCTTTTTAGCTTTCCCATTGTAGATAAAGAATGCAGTGACCCAAGAGACTTTACAAATGTAAAAGAAAAAACTTGTGCCAGAACTTTGAAATGTTTCAACATATCTCACATATCTAATCTCCCTTTTCCCTAACTGAAGGGGTTAATTCATTGAACCTTTTCTCAGAAACATGCACTAACTTTGTAATAAATGACCTTCATGTATTTTCCATTATCAGTGCTTTTCTTATTGAAAAATTTCTGGACTAGTTCAACAACTCACCAGTAAACTGTAAGTAAGGAGGAGTACTTGCATTTTAAGAAAAGAAAAGGAAGGAAATGCTCAGTTGCTGGCACAAACAGGAAAGTTAATTCCAACCAGATCATTAGGCCAATAAAAATAAGTTGCCTTTGCACAGTGTAGAGCTAAACTCTGGACAGATGCTGGCATAGGCTGGAGAATAAGAGCTTGATTTGGTAATGTGTGTGCATGCACGTATTCTGCCAAGGTCACCAGGTCTATAGTTTTGCTGAGTAAGGTTTTAAAAAGGCAAATCTAGGGCCCCTCAAGCAAAAGCCTATAGCTTTAAAGCTATCATAGGTAGATTAAGTGCATCAAGTTCATGATAGAGAGGGCCATGTAACTGCTGTGGTTCACAAAGGAAACCTAAGGTAGCAGCAGCAGCTATCTGAGAAAAGAACTTTAACTAGTTTTAAAATAGTGAAATCCAATGGTATATGAACACTGTACCTGGGCACGCCCTGGCTTTTGCACCCATCTTTCCAGGGTAAGCAGATGAGCATTGAGAGCTTTTCCCAGCTGATTGAGGAAGGCCAGGTTGAGGGGCACTCCAAATAAGGCATAAAACACACAGAAGATCTGCCCTGCCACTGTGCTGGGGGACAGGTTGCCATAACCTGGAAAAAAAGAAGAAAACAGCTACATGAAAAGGCTCTACAGGCAAGCTGCCGGCATCATGGAATGCTCATAAGCCTGGAACCTCAACTACATTAATCTTCAGGAACCTGTGGATCTAGGATTTTCTGCAATTAAATCTGTCTGCAAATTGCCATTGCTTATGATGAAGCCTTTTGCATTCACTACTACTAGCTGAAAATGAAACATGAAAAGTATTACTCTTCCAGGTACTATTGTAACCTTCTATAGGTCTCTGATTTTGTGGTAAGTGTGACTCAGTGCTTCAAAGCAACCCAGAGATGTGTCCATGCACAAAATGATCTTGCCTATACCAAGCAGGCACTCAGCTTTTTTGGGAGTATAAAATACTGTATAGAGAAAAATAACAGGCATAATTGGAAACCAATAGAAAACCATAACCCACAGTAGCTGATTGTCTTGCAGGTGTATTCTGTCCACTAATTACACATTTCCGGGGGCTTTACAGGACAGTTGGAGGAAACACCAGTTTTTAAGGAAATAGAGAACCTCACCTATAGTGGTGACAACAGTTCCTGCAAAAAAGAAGGAGTTGCTGAAGTCCCAGTTACTGGGATTTGTAGAGTTTCCTTCTGGGTTGACCCCTTTTTCCCATGCTTCCATGAGGACCTGAAGCAGAAAAGGTCAAAGGAGCAGAGATGAGGAAGAATGTCAGAAATAGAGATAAGTAAATACTGTTTTCCATCTTGAGCAAGCAGAGTGATAAACAGTGTAGATAACAGGATAGACTTGGACTAAAAAGAACTTCTGCTGACATGGCAAAACTTGGAAACAGAGCTGGTCAGGAACTTGAACTCTTGCTACAGGAGAACAGTCATTAAAGTGTGATAGGCTCCCCAGCTAGATGAGATCCAAGGGGAAGGAGGTGGACAATTCCCCAAAGTGATCAAACTGGGAAAAAAAATAAAGTTGTGCCATAAAAAAGAATGTGTTTGCTCTTCTCTCCTTCTGTAATCTAGTAATCTCATTCAAGTTTTTAATTTAGGCATGTGTAAATGTATAGTTGTGTCTATGGGCAGGGGCATGAGGAACATGCTCATTTCTGTTTCCTCCATGTAAGTGCTTGTAAGGATGAATTACTATTTTTGGCTATGACTTCCATATAATTTTCAGTGAATATGAGGCTTCTCCTAGTCTGAAAGATTAATTAATAAAATATTCTCTGCTATTCCAGACAGCTCTTACCAAAGCAAAACTACAGTGTGCCAAAAAATTAACATTCCTACATCAAATATCCTGTCAATTTCCTTAATAAAGATTGTGTCCCTTTGCTGTCCCCAAGGATTTGTCTGTGGGAGATTGGTTTCCCTCTGCTCAGTGGTTGGGGTTTTTAGAATCCCCTTTTTTATCACACACCTTACAAAAGCTAAGTCACAGCCTTTGTATTTTTGCAAAATGCCTGAAGGAATTACTTGTTCATCTCTTCAAAAACTTTGTATGATGCAAGATGAACAGGAGTCAATAGCAACCCCAGCTTTAGCTGGTTCCAGGAGTATGAGACCCAAGAAGATACTCTTTCTTGATTCAAATGGTAGCCACTTCCAGAAAGATTGCTTTTCTAGTGAAAGGTACCTGATTTTGGACAGGTTCTGCAATATTAACTGATTTGTACTGGTGGACTGAGTATATTAAGTATAGTAGCTAATTTGATTCCTTCAGTAAAAATCCTGTAGCATTGGTCAAATTTATCAGAGGGCTGCTGGACATCATCATGTGTGATCTCATGACTGAAGTGTCAGCGGAGCTTATTTTCAATATGACAAAGAATTTTGCATTATCCATTAAAAGCCTTTTCTTAGAATGAGAAGAATTCAACATGTCAGATTTTCTAGAGTCACTTATTTCATTTGCTGCTTAGAAGAAACACTCAGAAGCTACTGAGGTGTGAGTATTTTGAAATAATCACAGGTTTAATTTACTCCTGTAAGGAACACTTGACAGTTCTATGCATTTCAATGCACAAGAGTTCACAGGAGTTATATTCACATCATGAGAGCCAACACAAATGAGTAAGGCAACTTTAAATATTGAACCTTTTAGACACAGTCTGACAAGGCCAGATTTCTTGGTGTAATTGATGCTGTTAAAATACAATCCCATGAAAGAACTCCGTGAATGGAATGGCATCCCTGTGCCCAACAAACAGGTTCCTGTGGGACAGTTATAATGACTCCAGACTGCTTTTACCTACAGCTCAGGTAAGGGTTATGGCAGCTGCTGAATGGTTGGTGAACATTAGCTGTTGTCTTTGGGAGAGAAGTTGTCGGTATGTAAAAGCAATGTGCTGTAATTTACAGTAAGAATATGAAAGCTACATTAAGCTATAGCAGGGTGTGGAGAGAATAAAAACTGCCTGCTGTTTCTGCTCCTGTCCCCCTGCCAATGCACATTGCAGCCAACTGTGGTCATAGATAAGGATTTTGTCCTTTTGGTCTGTATTTATGTCACATCCTTTGAGACAGAAAAAGTATGGACATGATCAAAACACAGACTCCTTACTCAATGCATCTGTTTCTCAGTTATGCTGTCAGACTGGCATAATTTCCTGACCAAAGTATGCCTACCAGAGATGCATTAGATAAAGGAATTTGGATTTGCTCTTTCCCAAAGCTCCAGGCTGCTCATGTTCGGAGCTGCACCTCAGAAATATCCCCCAGCTAGGTAGTTTTAGCTGTGCAGAACCAATGCAGTTTATTGACATGAAATTATAAGAATTTGTTTCAATCACAATAGAGTCAAAATTTAATGAATTATGAGTGAAAATAGATATGCCAAGAAAAATCTGTGTTGAATGCCACATTGTAGGATTTAGGTTTAAAGAATTAAGGCATTAAGACAAGACATTTTATACTTGTTAACTGAATAGACTGAGCCTGACATGATGAACAGGCCTCCTTAACCATATAGTTAAAACATGCAGAGACACAACTGCTTTTCTGTATTAGAGATTTAATATGGGAAGACTAGTGTCCTCTAATATTAATACGAGTTAGACAAATCTGTTAACAGGTCTTTTGAGCAACATCTGGGTCAGAGAGTCCCTGCACTTACATATACCTTGAGGACTACAAAGTCTGAGTGCTCTGAAGCTTGGTGCATTGTAGATGATTTGGTGCCCTCAGCCGGTTTTGTCTGGAACAGCTTACAAGTGAAATTGTGTTTAATTCAGCAGAGACACAGCAGCAAAATGTGATTCTCTGAGTGGCACAGCAGTGAACCAAAGAAAAGTCCACTGGAGTCAGAGAGAGAAGAATCTGGTACGTGTGACCTCCTCTAATGTTTTGAGGGTAGTGAAGATTTAAATAAACCTTTCAATCCCATAAAGTATCACAGTTAGGTTTAGAATGAGAATCAGGGTTTTCACCTCTGCAATCACTATCAGAGAGATAAGGGAAGGACAGGTAATATTACCAAGTCACGAAGGTGAAAAAAATAGACATGTTTTTAGGTATGTAAGTTCTTGAAAGCTCTAGTCATTTTCTGGCACATGTCCAAGGTTCCACAAGTAACATATCACAGTATTAGTAATCAGAACATTGGCTTTGTAGATGTAAAGGTTCAGGTACCTTTTCTACCATTTCTGATCTGAACTTCGCTGTTCGCTTAAATCCATATATGAAGTCTGGGCTTTTTGTTGACCAAAATCTTATACCTTCATGGAAGTCCTCTGACTTGAGCAGTACAAATTGAGTTTTTATCAGTTTTAACAACATGGTAGAAAGAGTTCAAACTGTTTAGGCACCTAGCTTTGCAACTGGGTATGTTTTGAGCACAAAGAAACTCAAGGATTCAAGAGTTCAAAGTTCAAGGATTTCTGCACAGTTCTTGCACTACCTATTATGAGAATATATCTATAATACCAGGAAAGGTATAGTAATTTACCTCCAGCCAGTTTTGAGGAAAAGATTAAAATGTAATTGAAGTTGTCATTAACTGACAACCCATATTGAACAAAAGCCCTTTATCTCTTATAAGCGATAGATAACACAGCTTGTGATGATTGACTTTATCTTTTATTTAGGCCTGGAAGGGCAGGACTGCCTTCAAAAGGTAGTAGAAAATTTCACAGAATCACAGGGTTGGAAGAGACATCCAAGATCATCGAGTCCAACCCAGCCCTAACACCTCAACTAGCCCATGGCACTGCATGCCACATCCAGTCTCTTTTTAAAGACATCCAGAGATGGTGACTCCACCACCTCCCCAGGCAAACTATTCCAATACTTTGTCACCCTTTCTATAAAAATTTTTTTCCTAATATCCAACCTATGTTTCCCTTGGCACAGCTTAAGACTGTGTCCTCTGGTTCTGTCAGTTGTTGCCTGCACATTGTTGTTTTTAGTATGAAAGGGCAGAATTTGCACAGGTTTGGACTGGAGAACCTTGGAAGGGCAACCTACTTCTTTAGGTTTGATTCTTATTTTTTGGTTCCCATGCATAATTCCCAGTGATATTTAATGAGGGAGATGATGAGAGAACCATGAAGTTGAAATTATTGCAATGTAGCACAAGTGCATCACTAGATGCACTTAGATTTTGGGAGTTCATGACTGTGGAAAGAAACAAGTTCCATAGATCAAGATAAGGAAGTACATGAATAGGCTTGAGTTATTTATAAAGTTAGATATTTAATATCATGGACAGCTGATTGGTTTATACCATGCTAGGCTACTTGGCCCTGATAGTATAATTTCTTCTAATGAAAATAATACTTGAGCCAAAATAATGGGAACCCTTTCCTCTTACCTGTACAAACTGCTCCAGGGCTTGTCTGTCCAAGCATGTGTAATTCTGCAGGAACTTGAGCTTTTCCAGCTGGAACTGGTCCCGAAAATGTGTTTCTGCCTGCTTCTCCAGCAGCTGGAACACCATAGCACCCAGGAGGAGGTAAAAGAGGTACCCCAGTAGCAGCAGTGGAGTCCAGCTGATCTGCCGGCTGTGCATGGTGAGGAGGGGCATGCTGCTGATCGGCCCTTGCCAGTCCCTGCTCAGCACTTCATAGGTTACTGTTCCAGGATGTGACCTACCCAAAACACCAGGAATCACACGACCATGTTCCCAGCTACTGCCCTGGAGAGTTTTTCAATAAAACATCAGAGTATCAGGGCTTACAAAATGAGACTAACAGAGAAATTTTATCCCTCCACATCTGTTCTCTATCCAAAATAAAGGGTGAACATTTATAGCTTAATAAGACTGTGAATCATAGCGTCTTTCTTCTATTAGCTCTTATCCAAAGATCTCCATCGAATGAATAAAGCCCTCTGAGGATGGTATTAGGATAGTCTCTGGGAAGCTGAATCAAAGTTGTGTTTATATGACTTACCTTAGGTCATATGAATATAGAGTCACAGATAGACTCTTAAAATCTTGATAAATAAAGCCTTATTCTAAACACTAGACTTCTCTACAACAAAATGCTCTAAACTCTCTAATTACAGCAGACTCCCCACAAAGAAAAGTATGGAGCTGAATAAATGGAAAAATCAATAGCTGCTGTCTGTACCATACCAACATTGCTGGCACCAGTAAAACCAGCATGGTGAAGCTTAAAAACATCCTGAATTCAACTTGGTCACACAAAAGAACCTCTTTCTTTTCTAGTCCTAATAAGATCAGTCCTCTCACTGCCTCACCTACTGCTCCTGAACCCTGTCAAATTACTCCACCCTGTAGTTCACAGAGTTAGAGAATAAACCACTCATGCCTACTGCCTTCAAGTCTCTATATTGCCCTTTTAATCCAAATACTTAAGGGGAAGGAGGGCTTATGTTTAATCATTAGCTAAAAAAGTATCAGTTTCACTCATGGGAGCCTTAATAATTATCATGCACAGGAAATGAGCTGGGCTTGCATTTTTTTCTGTAGGAAGAGCTTTATGGCAAATGTCATCTGTCACACTGCTTCTGAAAGAAAACAAACACAGACACACACACACACATGAAGATGGCCAGGTGGCTAGGGCTGCAATTTTCTTATTATACTCTCTTACAGTTAAAATGTTCTGGATATAGATATCCCTAATTTGCTTAGCATTCATATAGTTTTACTCCTATCTTGTGGTAGTGGTAGTGCTCATAGAAAAAGACTGAAAAAATTATTTAATTCATATCAATATCTGGTTTTGGGAGTATCCCTGGACTTACCATTTGTTCTGTGCTCACAACCTGGGGCCAGCCATCATCCAGAGGAGGATGGCTGACCAGCAGCAGAAGGCCACTTACGACTCTGAAAAGTGAAAACTATTGTGGATAATTCCAAGGAGACCATCCTGGTCTTTGGGACTGCTCTGTCAGTGTGAATAGGGGAACTGAAAGATTTCCATAGGGAAGTGCCATGTGTAAGGACTCAGAGCCTTGGTGGTCTGGCATTTCTTTTCAGCTGAAAAACCGAAACATTTGGGAGATAGAAGTTATAGTAGCAGTGATATTACTAAGCACTGCAACAACATTATGAAGCAAACTGATCTGAATCAGCTGAGACATCCAGCTTATTATCACTGATGTTGTTCAGGGCTAAGGATGACATCTACGTACACAGTATCTAACAAGAACATCGCTCTTGTGTCTGACTTCCATAACTAAAAGGTGCAGCTTTTTATTCCATTCCCAGAGCAATGATATGGGTAGACAAGCCTGGGATATTGCACTAGCAGGGCTGTCTCTGGTGGGAGATCCAGGTGTTGTGCTGTTGGTAGGACCCATGCCTACCAGGCCAAGAGAATGCCAGCCTACTGGGTTTCTGGAATGGATGCAAACTATGGAATTGCACACAGCTGTGCTGGGACAAATTTTCTCAGTTGGAGTAAATTTCACAATTAAGGGTATGAAACTATATAATATAAATGAACAAATACAGCATATAATCAGATTTTTTGCCCCCTTCTGTTCTTTCAGTCCAGATGAACAAAGCATGCCAGTTGACAAAGTTGGCAGTATAAATTATGCCTTAAGAAAAAATGTCTGCTAAGACTTACTTTTGGGATCTTAATTTTCCAAGGTTTTGAAAATTGAGTCACTAACCTCATCAAAGTATGCTTATTTCTATAATACAGTACTTCCTACTGGTTTGGTTCTTTCCTCCTCTAGTGTCAGGCTGCAATATAGGAACCAAATAAAGCCCGAATCTGTTCAGCAGCCCAGAAATGATGTCTTGTCACAGGAAAAAAGAAAACCCAATATATACATTTTGAAGTAAACTGAAGACTTATGGTTTTTGTGTGAGTTCTGAATCTGGAAGAGAGAGTTCAGCATGGCTTACCACATCAGAAATTAAATTTAGCTTCCAGGTAAAAAGACATCATATACAATGTGCTGAAACAACAATACTAGCAAATCACTTTATATGATATGATGACAAAGCATACTCTCTAGTCTTAACTTCACTTGTTGCTTTTCTAATGCTCTTCTGATTACAAAATAAAAAAAACCCCTGAGTTCACAAACTTTAGGAATAAAAAATGCAAAATGCAAAAACTTTTTAATAGCAGCTGAACGTAGAAGTAGACTGTTCTTCCAAGGTGCTGCTTTTCAGTGCTCCTTGACAATATAGAATGCAAGAGTGCGTCTGGTCTCAAAACTAGGGAATGACTTCTCACAAAACATATTTTGAATCCAGGATTGGGCACAATCTCCTTGATTACTCCTTCACTTGTCTTTCTTCCTCAGTGTGACTGACCCAATAGGATCCAGCTTTTCCCCACAGAAAATCTGAGCCATTCTGGAAATGACAGATACCAAAATGACATCCTGGCTTACAATATACATAATAATCACTTTTCATGTATTACTTGGAGCAAATCAAAGGATTCAATGTTCTCTAAATGCTTTACCTATTGTTTCTTACAGCCCCTAACAAATCTTGAATATGGATAGATGCGAAATAAAAGATAGGCCAAAAAATAAGTGACATGGTTTCCTCACATTCCTCACTGGTTTTCAAAAGACAGAAAAAATACCACTGTGATCAGAAGTTTTATTTACATCAACACAAATAAGCTGTTTCTAAATTAAGTAATAAAATAAGTTGAAAGATATCTTGACTGATCCTGTTATTATCAAATTTCTGATGGAGAATTATTTTTGGACTAGTTCTTCTGGTAGAAATGTCTCTGTACAGAACTAGTTGACAAAGTGGATGCAAAGATCTGGGGATTCATTCTTTCTAATCATTTCAGCCAGAACAGTTTCTACTGAAATTAAATACTGAATTATTTTAATTAGTAAATACTGAATTATTTTAATAATTCAGTAATTTTAATTAGTAAATACTGAATTATTTTAATTAGTTTTGGTCTTTGAATTACTTTTAAAATCTGTACTGCAGAGAAGAATTAAGGAAATTATTTTAGAACCATATTAAATATAAATAAGAGAACCACTGAATTTCTTCAGGCATGACAGTTTAATTTGCTTGTCTTATAGATGGGATTTCAAAGCAAACATTGAAGGAAGTGAAAATATTAAGAAAAAAAATAAGAAAAAGATTGTTTAACATTGATTAAAGCAACAATAAAAGTGATTAATATGAAATAAAATGAAACCAGTGGTTTGATTGTTGTGGTTATTAAAAATTCACTTTGAAAAGACAAACACCTTCTATATAGAGCTACCAAATATGCTATATGTAACAAGGCATTTCCAGATGTTCATCTTCTTGGCATCCATATTCACCAGCTGCATGTTTGCAGCAACATTTATAAGATTTTAACATTTTATTATGTTGAAGTGCTCTCAGTTTATACTAATAACATAAGATACTTTGCATCCCATGATTGATTAAACAGGTAAGAATATACTACATTAGATACTTACACTGTTACACGTGTGAACCTCATTACTCCTCTTCAAAGCTTCTTTCTTTAAAAAACACAGGAGCGACAGAGGGAGATTGAGTTAGGGCATGTCCATCTTCCAAGAAAGAGAAACTCAACATAAGGCTATGCCTTTTTCTTCTTGGAGCTCTCTGGAAAGCTGCAGTGGCCAGGAAGTAGTGAAATGCCCAAGCCAAAACCTGGTTATCTCACGGGTTTCAGTAATGAAGGTTCAGACTGTGTACAGAACCCTGGCAGATTCAATATAAATGAGAACAGATCCTTGGCCTTTATTATAATCTGGGTCATATCCCAACCCTCCCAGAAGCTACCATGCTGTAACGCAGCAGAGGACATGCATCTTCTTCTGAATGTAACTATATAGAAGATTGGAAATATGTTGAAATAAAAGATGAGATGATCCACAATGCCTGGCATAATTAATCCCAGAAATATCTGTATGGGATCTAGCATTCTAGAGCTACTTCCTCAAGAAATCCTCACCAAAAAAAGAAAAAACAAAGATATTTGTGTTTATTCTGGTTGCAGATAAATAAATAAATAAATATGAACTTTGAACCCAAGTCAACTAGATAGCATGTGAATTGACTGAAGTGAGATGTGCATGAGGAACGCCATGCTTAGCAATGCTGTTTTACAGGTGGCCTACAGAGGATTCAAAACCAGGATAAATGTGGGCCACTGGTTGTTTCTTCAATGTAGCAAATGCTTGGGTTATTTCAAATTAATCTTAAAGTTATATGAAGAGAGATTATTAAAAGAAGGAATTTTGCTTGTCTGTGGCCAAAAAACAATTCTGGAAGCAAAAAATGCTTTCAGAAAACCACACAGACCTTAGATAAGAGATTCAGAAGCCCACCAGCACCTGACGAAAGGCAATCAAATGCTGGAGCTTGGTTTTGACAGCGTGGCTTGTGCAAGGAAGAGAGATAATGACAAAATGAAAAGTTCTGGCTAGACATAAGGGAAAACCTGTTTGTCATGATGACAGTCAAACATTAGAATGAATTGCTTAGAAATGCCATGTGGTCTTCATTCTTGGAGGTTTTCAAGAGCACATTGAACAAAGCCCTCAGCAGCTTGGTTTGATCTTGTAGCTCAAGCTTTTTTGAGGAAGAGGATGGATTAAAGATCTGCTGAGATAATTTC